TTTCTAAGAAAAAGGAAAACCAAACCAAGCAAACAAGCAAGTAAACAAACAAGAAAAACCAACAATACACAGCAGTCAGAAGTGCTCCAAGCAAAAAACCTCCTGAAGGCCTTGGTGAAAGTTTCACAGTAGTACTGAACAAAATACTTTGACCTCCTGGGAAAAAACCTATTCTGTCTGAGTGTACACCAAGACAATGATAAAAGTAGCTCCAGTCCAGACTACGGGGTGCAAACACTGTTTTCTAGTCTTACCAGGCTTCTAACTGTAGTTAGTAACAGATCTCAAGATACTCTTTAAACTCTATACAATCTATTAAAAATACAACAAAATCAGAACAGCCATATATGAGTTATCTGACAAACCACCTCCATCCAGATAAAATCTTACTTAACCAGCATCATTTCAACTTCCCCAGATATCTCACAAAGAAGTGTTAGTCAGCTTTAAACTGAGACAAGTAGGGAGAGTCCTTTACGGTTACCTTGCCAAGATATCTTTAGTAGCTCATCCCTTTCCCCCCCAAAAAACCTGAATGCTATGAAAAAGCACATTTCATAAAAACATGTCCAGCATACTACAACACTAGTTAGATACATTACAGTTGTCAGAAACTCTTAATGAGCCAAAACAAGGCTTAAAAATCACAAGAAGAATATAGCTTTTGTACTCACAACAAATTTTCCCAAAGAGCACCTGGACAAGAAGACTTGTTTCAAGAAGCCAGGTAGCACATCCCCTCCATAAACACTTGAAGAACAAGAACAAAACCAAAAACACATCTCCACCTCCTTTCTGCCTCTCTTCTCCTCACCTAGCAGTGCCCGTGCTACCTTGCTACTCAGAGTGGCTGCAGCTGTGCACACCTCCCTCACAGGTGCAGGTAATGAGGCTCAAATCAGCACCTCAGATCAGGTGCAAGGGAGGGTAGCGGGGCAAAGGCTGCTGTATTATGCATTTGAGGTCTGGTAAATAAACAGATACTGTGTTAAACAGTCTTTATGAAGACAAATGTGTGTAAAAGAAATAAAGCCAACTGTGGGCTTTTGGAGATCATTTCAAAGAAAATGCCCCATAGTTTCTCAAGGAAAAAACATATGTGCTACTAAACAATGTCAGAGATCTCATCCACTGTGCAGGGAGGTTGATGACAAGCCAGTCAGTCAGTAAGGCTGTGACCAGGCTCAAGTGCTTAGACTCTGCTAATTACAAATGGAAGAACTTTATAGGAACACTGAAGGTAAAGGTCTATGCTGGGGGAAAAGATCAAAGTAACTTGTCACTAAAAGGCAACTTGCAAATGGAGAGTCATGGCTATCACTAAAACAAGGGGCTTGGGGGCAATGCTGATAAAATAGGGACCAGCAGTTAAAGATGGAGGAAACATGGATGTAGGAAACTGAGTATTGAGCTGCCCTTTACTGTTTGGAAACTGATTACATATATGCATCTTCATGTAATTTTTCAGGGATATTTCCTCATATTCAGAGGTCACCAGTTCTGAAGAAGAAAGACTTGTTTGAAGATTTAATAAGTATCCACATGCATAAGAGCATATCTACATTACTTGGAAGAATCACTGGAGAGCTAGGGAAAAAGAGGAAATGACACATTTAGTCCAAGATCTTGATTTGTGTATATGTTTAAGCTACTTCTCTTTATTTGCTTTTTGCATTTTAATCCTTATTGATGTCAATTTATATGCTGGAAGAAGGCCTGTAACTATGAGCACTGATTTCTGATTAACTTGGACTTATGGGATTTTTTAATTGCTTATGAATTCAGATTCCTTAATAAACTGCATGATTTATAAGCAGCTGCCTACTTTAATCTGTGTATATATCAGGCTTTTTGTAATGCATGTGACCTATCCAAACTATTGGCCTTTGGGTGCCAAAACAGGAAATAACCGATCCTTCAATAAAATATAGACAAGCAGAGGAGGAAGTTACCAAAAACCTCCACTGGCTCCAAGACAGGATTAGAGTCAAGATGGTGATGTTTTATTGTATGCATAGCTGTAAGCTTGTACAAAGCAACCACTGTTGAAGGTTTTTACTAAGGAAAAGTAGTACATATTTTTATATTAAAAACACCTTAAGAAGATGGTTTTGGTTTTCTAGTAAAAGTGTTAACAGGTTTTACCAGCAGCTTCTCTGTGTGCTTTAATATGCTGGTTTTTACAGTATTTTCCCTAACTTTGTTACTAAAAACATCACTTAAAGTGCTTAATTAAAAGAATTCTCATGCATAACTTGAATTTGCATCTTTTTTAATTTGCAGCTTCCTTGTAGACAAATCAGTTTCCTCTGTGACTGTTACTGAGAACTCTAATAGGCAGTCTGATATTAAACTGATGCAACATAGCTTTGGGCAGGTAACATTTGATGCTTTGATGAAATGAAATATTTCCATCGCCTGGGTGGCTGAATGCAGCTAAAAAATTAAGCTTTCCAGGGCAATTACATTCAGTTGTTAATTCAAAGTTGCTTTCCTTCAACATGTGGCAATATTTGGTTTGTTTGGGTTTGGGATTTTTATGGTTTTGGGTTTTTTGGTTGTTTTTTTTTCCAAAATGCCCAAAGAAAAAGTGATTTGCTGAGTGTTCATCAAATTGCAGAAATAGGTTCAAGTAGCACAATATGTAAATGAAATCTTAAAACAGTTACTGGGCCTGAATAAAATAAAGCTTAAACAGTTCCGTTAGATGAAATCCTGATCTTATGGAAGCAGCAAAAAACTGTAAGAGGGTTATCATCTTCAGTGGCTCAGAATTTGTACTTAATCTCCTGGGTTCAGCAGTGGCAGCCATTTTTCTCCTTCTTAGTAGCTGGTGCAGTGCTGTGTTTTTGACTTTCAGCCTGGGAACAGTGCTGATAACACCGATGTTTTTAGTTGCTGCTCAGTAACGTTTACTCTGACCAAGGACTTTCTGAGTGTCATGCTCTGCCAGGGAGGAGAGGAAGCCGGGAGGAAGCAGAGACAGGACACCTGACCCAAACTGACCAAAGAGGTATTCCATACCACAGCACGTCATGCCCAGGATGTAAACTGGGGGCAGTTACCCAGAAGGGCTAGATCACTGCTTGGTCAGGCTGGGTATCGGTTGGCAGGTGGTGAGCAGTTGTATTCTCTTCCCCTGTTATTTCCCTTACCATGATTATTATTGGTGGTAGCAGCAGTGGTTTTGTGTTACACCTTAGTTACTGGACTGTTCTTATCTCAACCCATGGGAGTTACATTCTTGCCATTCTCCTCCCCATCACTCTGGGAGCTGGGGGAGGAAAGGGGGAGTGAGCTAACAGCTGTGTGGTTCTGGTTTGCCAGCTGGGCTTAAACCACGACAGTTACCCATGTAACAAATCATTTAAATGTTCAAGAGAGGAGAGAACACTAAAGCAGGATGAACACAGGAACACACAGTTTAGTACTCTCTGCAACATCCTCCCAGCTGCCTCTGCCTGCAGCCATCACCTACAAGAGTGCTCTTCTACCATGTCAGAGGTGAGAGCAGTGTTAACAGCAGATATCCTCACTCCTATCCTACTGTTGTTAATTATCTAATTTATATAAATATATCTAAAAGCCCCATTGTGCACAACTTTGTACTAACATAAGAGACACAGCCTTCACCCACAGTCCCTACAGCTATTAAGACCAGCAACTAACAAGGAATTTAAGGCTGGATGCCTCAGCCAAATAGGATTGGTATTGTAGTAGACCAGATGTTACCTGTTCCCATGTGCTCTCAAGCTCTAGAAAAGCTGAAACCAGACAGATTATCTGAACAGGTACTGTTTATCTTAGATGCTCTTCCAAAGGCCCCTTTGTAAGAGGCTAGTGCTTCTACTTTAGATACATCCTTCCTGTAACAACAGGATCCCCCAGGGAAGGGCTGCTGGCAGCTTTCCTCTTCCCTTCAGATAACAACAGAAATGGTGAAATGCCACTATGGGCCCAACTGATGTTTAGTTTAAACAAATTTGCAACACTTCTCTACTTCAGCAGGCTTCTTAATTAACAGGCTGTAGCATCCTTTGGGGAAATGAGCAGGAAAGGATTAGTACATAGAGGAAAGACTGAGAAAACAGATGAATCTCTAGCATAGGTCACACATAGGTTCCCCATTGAACATTTGAAAATTGCTGACATAAAGGAGATAATCTGTGTTATTAATTGTCCCGAAATAAAAAAGGGATGCAACTAATGACATGTAAACCTGTAAGTGATAAAGCTCCTGAAGGAACGCCTGCCTCAGGGAACTTCTTCTCTCTGAAGGTCTCAGAGCATAATTCTATTTTATAATTTAAGTCTTGCTTGCTTTTGTCCAGGTCTCAACAATTTTGGCGTTAAAACACAATCAGAAGATGCTGATGTTTGCTACTGATTTACTAACTATAAATTGAGACCTTCCAGGGTGGCTGTGTTAAGGAAAAAAAAAAGTGCTGTGAGTGTGAGATGCAAGCGGATTTGATGTACAGGAGTAATTCAAAATGTCTCTGTGTCTAAAGACAGGATATCACTTCCTACCACTTTTCCCTTTAAATTTCATTAGCAGATCTTGGGGTGTGCTAGGACTGCTTTTGCAGATATGGTTCCTGGCTTATTGTTTCTCAATCTGTGTGTGTCAGAACAATGGAATGAACACGTCTGAAGTTGATCTGTTGCCAGCTGAACTGAGTAGCAACAAAATAAAGGCCTTGGGATTTTGTCCCTTTCATCTTATAAGGACCTCGTAGTTAAACAGCTGCTTGTTGGCATGGAAAAACACTTCCTTGAGTCTTTATGCGCTGCCATGAAGTAAGAGCTCATGGTGGTTCAGGAATGTCTGTTTGCAAGAATTTGTGCTCCAGACCTAGTCTGTGTGGCATTGGACCAAACCAGTTTTTGTTAGCTATCACTGTTTCCAGCTGGTTGTAATCCACATGCACTCATGCTTGAAGGAAACTTAAAGTCTCAACAGAAGCTGATGGATATTTTCCCATTATCAGAAGTTCTTTATTGTATGTATCTCTTGGCACTGGTATATTGCAAAAGCTACTAAGCCTTTATCTCACACTATATTCTGTTTGTGATAATACAAGTATCCACTTTCTAGGGACCCCATCCCTATATGTTTTGTGGGGTCCTCGCCCTCAGTTAGTTTCTCTACTTTTGAGCTGCATCACACTTCCTTTGCTAGAGACAAGCTACTTGTCAGCTTCCAGTTGCATACCATTATCTGTTGCTGTAATTCTTGGATGTTTGCAGTACATGTAATTAAGGCCTCCTGTGACCAAAACTAGCAGAAATAACCAGGAATGTTTATTGCTATCACTACCACAGTATAAGGCCTTTCAAGAAGGTGGCTGAGGTGCTACCAACAGGAAACAAGATTTCTAGCCATTTTAATGAGTCAGTCTGTCCCTTTATCTTGGTGATTATAATTAATTCTGAAAAATACAAGACCAGGAAAATCTGTGTGGAAAATTAAGCATTCTATTCCAATGTTGTCCCAGATATGTAAGTTAATCAGGAATGGAAAGGCTCTTCTAAACCAATTAAATTACTTTAAGTGTTCAAAGCATATTTTCATTTAATGCAGTAGTTTGGAAAAATATGATTATGTAAATACCAAATATTGGGAAGTCTGACAATTAAGAACTCATTTCTTCCTTTAGTCTAAGAAACAATGATGTGATAGCAAATACATCACTGAAACCAGTTAACAGAACTCATATATATTAAAAAAACTGTTCCTGAAAGACAAGCCATTATGGATTATACGGCATTAAGAAGAGAAGACAGGGCAGGACAGTCGTTAAAGCCTGTGTAACATTAATGAAGACATGCTGATTTTTATCAGCTGGGCTAACACCTACTGCACAGGAGCTGGAAGCCACCAACAGAAGCCACCAATAGTGTTAAGAATGTCGTTCTCTTAACACTATTTATGGTCCCTGATGAAGTCAGTAAATGCAGAAGTCTGTTATGTTGGGTTATTACAGCAAAACATCTGAGACACTTTTAAAAGTCTGATATGGCATCAATTACCTTCAATAGTTCAGTGGAGCTGTAAGGGCAAGTGGGAGCTTCCATCATTTACAAGCTGGTGAAATCACTTGGTTGATGAGGTCAGAAAAGGATCTGCTAACATGTTCGGCTGTAGAGAAGAATTCCTGCTGCAAAGCAGACTGTTGAGCTGAAAAGTAGAACAGATTTTAAGACTTTCAGACAATTTAGGTGCTGTCAGAGCCCTAAAAACTGTAAATTTCTAATTTTTTAGAAACAGCAGTTTTTGCCATCATTCATTTTTTTACGTCCTCATTATCAAAAGTGAGACATCTTGACCATTGAACAAAGCTCTAAGCAAGACTACTGATCCTACAAAGGGATTTTGTACTGCTGGAAGTCTGCCAGAGACTAGATTCATAGTTACAGTGTCAGAAGGGGCAACAGAGAAGACCTCCAGTGCTGTCAACTATAAGTTTGCTCCTTAATTGACTGCCAAGACTGATTTCCTCTCATGCACTTTTTGACTCATCCTGTTTCAAATTAGTCCAACGTAAGGAGCTATATTTCACCTTACAGGAATATGTTCTACCTTATGCTATACAGCTGGCATATTTCTACAATGGCAAAGGCAAGAATCTGGGTCTCCTCTGAGGGTTAAATGATTATGAACTACATTATAAAGTGGATGAAGGTGTGAAGACGGTGTCAAGATACCTGGGAGAGCTTATACCTGCTTGGGATTGGAGAGACACTGCATCCTTTAGTTTCATCACTAGCTGCTGGAGTTCCACTTCCTCACTGGCTTCTTTCTCATCAAGTGGTATCTTCACTGCAATGGGAGTAAGAACTGTATTCCTCATGATGTCCCTGTGGGAGTTTTCTGTCAATTCAGGCGTATGTGTTTGATTCGCTTTTGCTTTTTTATCCCAAGGTCTGTGGCTCTTCAGGGATGCTGACTCCAGTGGGTCTTCTGAGATGAAGTCCACTGCAGTGGGAACTTCAGGTGTCTGTAAAAGCTGCATTCTATTTGTGGAGTTGGAGGGATTCAGAGATTTCCAGTCTGAACATGTTCTGGAATTAGGTCTTATTTGGGCAGGATTCAATCCAGCCTGCAGTGTCCTTTCCAGCAGGACATGAGGACTTCTTGGCATCATATATTGACACTGTACAAAAGGATGCTCTGATGACTGGAACATTGTCTACAACAGACAATACACAGAACCTACATTGTGAAAATCATTGATATTTTCATTTGCTGACAGTACTAAAATAGGTAAGAAAATAATTTCGGGTCTGGTGAACTAAACCAATTCTTTTCATGAATAAAATATCATCCTGCAATAAAATAAAATAAACTTTGTTTGGACAAATCTATGTGGCCATTTTTTCCACAATTTCAATCTGAAGACATTATATGCTTTAATGACATTGAAAAGTGAGAATAATAACATTTCGAGAGTAAAATTGCAGGAAAATTGTTATAGAAGAATTGCACTAAGTGAAAAATATATGGGTATATTTAACACATATCGAACACCTCACACCTGTTAACATTCAGAATTCCAAAACTAGGTTGGTTGTCAGTGCCACCATTGTACTTGAATTTTCTAGACAGAACTATGATGGCAAATACTATCCACTGCATGAACACCAAGTCTGGTGTAACTGGGATCACTGAGCTGACTGTGCACGTACTGGACATTTAACTGCATGCATGGAGCCAGTCCTGCAAGCTGTGGACAGGTCAGTGTCACAGCATGCACATGGAACAGTATGACATGCCAGGTCATACTGGACTCCATGTGCAAGTGCTATAAAGCTGGCCAAATGTACAGTGCAAATGTGTCTGGCTTTTCTGTGTATTTGCCAACCTTGAAAAACACATGAAAAGTAGCCTTGAAGAAAATGCTACAAACATGCTGCAGGTGGCAAACATGTATGCATTCCCTGTGAAATAAGGATCTTTTTAGAACCTGAGAGGGATCTTAAATAAATAAGAGTCAATACAATTTAAAGGAAATAAAATATTTTCTGTTTGAGTAAAAAGTATTTTATTTATTCAGCACCAACATAGAACTCTTCTCTAAAGAAAAGACTGCAATGAAGTATCTAACATTTCTTTTGGAAACCATTTTCTCACTCGTCTTCTTACTGTATTGGAATATCCTCTCATTATTTTAACTGCCATAGTTCTAAATATCCCAGACATTGGTATCTGTGCTTGATGCAAAATATATACAAAATGACAAGTAAATCCCTGCTTCAAAGATCTTAATTGCTTCCTCTGAAGGCAAGATCTTAAGCAGACAAGTGGAAGGTGCACAAAATAGTATCAAGACTTCTGGTCTGTAGCAGAAGGAGTAGTTAGTGTTCAGTAATTGCCCATAGCTATGAATATTTTTGCTCTATTTATCACTATACCTTTACTTCTTGCTTCATTTGCTGCAACTTCATTTGTAGGTTTTCATGGCTTGCTCTCAGGCTTTGGAGCTTTGCCTCTATTTTGCAGCTTTTTTCTTCCTGACAGTTGTGAAGAAATTGCATTTTGCCCTTCCACTTGTTGAACTGCTTCTTCATGTACCTGCCAAGGGACATAGGAGGTGGGAATTTTGCTAGATCACACACACAAACATACGCAGTCATGGAAAAGAGCAAACACTGTAGCACAAGCTTTCTCCTATTTGTCAGTTCAGGAAATTTTGTCAGCCTTGGGGTTAGAGGCCAGTATTACAGGAATTGGGCTGTAGCCATGGAATTAGCAGCAACAGGAGTGTTTTAGATGAGGAAAGATGCGAACTGAGTGGAACTATAGCCAGGACTGGGCCTTGCATCTTGGGGTTTTACTTTTCCCATAAAGGTGGTTGCAACAGGAGAGACATTATAGCAGTCCCTCTGTCTAAAAGCAAACCACTTACGGCAACTCCCCAGCCTGGAAGATTCCCATCATTTCCACCTGGGCAGCAAAGGAGTAAAAGCAGCTTCTGTCCCTTTGCCCGAGTTCCTTCTGTGTAGCTTGTTTGATGATACGAATAGTTCCTGCATAGGCCACTTGTCCTTGAAAAGATCCTTTGATGTTTGCAGTGAGAAGTGCCACCCTCCCACACACGCCACTAGAAACTACCTACTTGGAGCACAGTCTGACAAAAATACCACACAAATCTCTGCTCTAGAGTTAGGATTTCTCTAAGAAGTTGGGGTTGAAATACAGTTCTGTTTTCCCCACGGCTAAGGTGGAGACTGACAGAAAAGCTTGTTGACACTGTAGTACTAAACCAACTACTTCACAACACACAGCTGAAAAAGTTATCTCATTTACTTAGTTACATCCAGAAGTTCATCTAATTCACTTCCTTTTGGGTATGTGCTGGCCACAGACAAAAGCCACATCAATTTCACTGGAATTATGCAAGCCAAGCCTTTTAAAATTAAAATTAGTATTACAGTGGTCCCCCAGAACAGCATTTAAAGGGTCTTTACTGTAATATGGTGACTACCTTCAACTAACTCAGAGCCCAGTTCTGTGAACAGGCACATAAATGCTGGAAGTTAGTTCAGAAAAAAGAACAAAGAGCTTTCCATGAGTAATGTGATTCATTCACCCAGTTATATGATAAGCTCTGGGTCAGAGGGTGATGCAGTGTATCAGGAGCAGGCTTCCCAGATATCCTCTCAACTAGTGCTAATCTAAATGAAAGCTGAAGATCTTTCTCATATCTCTTTCTCTTCTCATGTGAGAATAGAGTGGTGTAAAGACACAGACTTACAATGAAAATACAATTGTTTTGATCTAGTCTTGGGGTGCCCTTGTGTGAATTTGGAGCAATAATTGTACATTGACTCATGACAATGAAACAAAACAGGAACAGAGGGAACTGAACATACTGTAGGAAATAGAGTAGATTCAGTCATCATACCACTGCATTTACCTACCTGCTCTCATTACGAATATTTCTAATGGATTCATGCATTTTTAACACATCTGCTTCAGAAGAGGCTATTGCCTGTAAAGAAAAGTATCTGTTCATAACTTTACCAGCAATAACATTTCATTTTCTATGCAAATTTTGCTACAAGAGGGCATGGCAAATTTGGAATTTGGTGTGTCTTGCAGATATATTAGCAGATTTTTTAGCTAACTACTAACTGATTGCAGTCATCTGATGCACTAAAGAATTTCTAATGGCTATTAGAACTGATTGCAAAATTTACTCTATAAAGCAAATTTATTGTCCTGTGATGAATTCTAAGTGTATGAGAACTTGCTTTGTTTTACGTTAAAACAAAATCCTCATTCCCTGGAATTTCTGCTAAATGGAATATTCTGATTTGAGTAGTGAGACACTTGAACCAGCTGAGCAGTAGTTTTGGCTGCCCCATCACTGGCAGTGTTCAAGGCCAGGTTGGATGGGGCTTTGAGCAACCTGGTGTAGTGGGAAGTGTCCCTGCCCATGGCAGGAATCAGATGATCTTTAAGGTCATTTCCAACCCAAACCATTCTGTGATTCTGTGATGCTATGACTCTGTGAAGTCCCACAACTGCTCTGGGACAAGGAGATGGAGGGAGGGACTGGATGTAGAAGAGAGAAGCTCCTGGTCTTTGAATGGAAATAGAAGTCTCTGGACCATGCGGGAGACAGTAGCCCCGAAGTCTGGGAGACAAACACTGCATTAGAGGTAAGCTGCTTTAGAGGCATGGTATAAACTGGGCTGGAATCAAGGCTGCTAGGAAATTTTAAGGCTAAGAGCTGGGGCCCCAGCTCCTCCAAGCTTTTGGATTCTATTAAAACCTCTAATTTGACTTATGTTCTGCATCTCTTTAAGCAGCATTGAAATAATCTGCACTACAAGATGTTGGAAATCAGTATAAAACTGCTCTAAAAGAATTCTCAACCCTGAGAGAAAATGAGCAAGAGAGCAACGCATGTGACAGAATCCCAATGCAGGGATGCAAGTCCCATCTTAATGTCTTCTAAACCAACAAATGCCAGCCATCAAAATTGTATGCTTAAGTAGTGTCTGCCTACTGCTTCTCCTGCAGATATGAGCTGGCTGCCACTATAGCTCAAGCTGGGCAGCAGAGTCCTAAAAGAGAGGTCTTCCAAAATGCATGACAGGAGTGGTAGCCTGAATGACCTGACATGCACATGCTAGTTCTCAGCTACTGCACCCCTGGTTTCTGGGAAGGACAAGACGAGTGGATAACACAAAATGGTTTGAACACAACCCAGTGTTCCCTATGTTCTGAGTACATGCAGAACTACTAACCTCTCATATAAATATAGAAACAAAACACTGCTCTGCACTTATTTTTACCTACATCGTCCTACCCTCTCCTCTAGCATTCTTTCTATGCAGGGAACCTGGAAATGGATTAATGGAGAGCTTTTATGCATGAGTTATTTTAGTTGGAGTGAACACTACTCTGGGCTTATCTTGAAGAAGGGCCCATTCTGTCCTCTGGCTATTGCCATGGTGACAAAAATGGCCTGAGTCTAATAAGAATTAAGGTGTCCTTCCTTGACATTTGCCTGCAGTTTGAAGACGGGATGGCATTTTTTTCTGTCAGAATAGAGAGAGGCCTCAGTCTTAGCTTGTCTTTAATGTTGTCTTTAACTAAGACCACTTGGGAAAAAGTAAAAACTAACAGAGCAAATATTCTTAAAAATACTTCTCAAGGTCACTGAAGTCAAACAGTTAGTCACTAATCTGGGGAAGGTATCAAATTGAAGCTTCACTAAGTTTTCAGACCACATTTTTTCTGTAAATGAACAATTAACAGAAGGTTGAAGCTGCCCATTACGTTTCTTTTTCACTGGTAATTAGAAGGCAAATAGATAGTTTCCTTGGTAGGTCTTCTTCACAGCTTTAGCACTATTTCAGGTTCATGTTTTTTTCACCTGAATTTCTGTCTTGCCTCGCTCTGGTGTCTTGATGTTATTTTCACTCTTCTGCACTACAGTTCTGTTTTCAGATATGAACTTTGCTGACTCTAGGACAGGTCTGTCCACTAGGAAAGACAGGTTTTCACGGCCAGGTAGTGGTGAAGCACCGAGTTCTTCCAGGGGACTGTATACCAACAAAGAAATAAAGAGTAGAGAAAGGATCAAGCATTATATGGTTTTGGTACCTAGAAAGATCAAAATAAAACTAATGCACTGTAAATAGACAGCTGGGCCACTGAATAAGCACAAAGTACAGTTTAGCTGTCTGATGGCATATTTTAGCTGAAAGAATGAAAACAAATTTCACTCTTTCAACAGAATCTCAGCAACAGGTTCTTATTTCCACCCAGTTAATATCAGCAATTTGCTGCTTGTCTTTTTTTGTTCCTTTAGCAGAGATCTAAATATGTTCGGAAATTCAACTACAAAAAGATAGCAAAGGACCAGATACCCTGCTGTTCAGGCCTGTGCTAGGAAAAGTCCAGATACCTATCAGGCCCACTAACACCTGTAACAGCTTCCCCAAACAAATTCTTCTTTCTCTCATTGCTACCAAAGCATTAGGCAAGCAACCCCCCACAGAATTACAGAGAAATCTTGATTGTTCCCAGAAGGATTAAATGACTTTCAAAATGAAGAAATATTTTTTGTCACTAGTTGGGAAATGTTAGGAGTGAAAAATGTTTTGCATTTTACCACAGTCTAAAAAACAAATACTGAAATAATTTTCTCCATAAGCATCACTGTAACTATCATCCATTAGTCTTTACTGTATATAAAAAATTGGTGTCTAATAGCAACGTACTTACCTAGCAGTGTAGCATAATCACGTTTTATAAACAGATTTTTCTCCTGCTTCACACAAGAATTAAATTAATTATTTCAGAGAGGAGTGATCATTTTTTCTCTATTTCAGTCTCACTGAAGCCTGATTTGGAGAACACATGCTAGATGCAAGAGAGTTGCTGGGTCTTTCCACAACTGGGAAGGAATCTCATCCTTTGTATGTTCGTAGTGCTTACCTCGTATTATCACTCCCTTCAGTTTCTACACCTAAATATCAACAAAAACCTCAGAGCAACGAAGGAAAAACTGCAGGGGAAAGTCACAACATGACCTCCAATGCTCACTATTAACCACTGTGACCAATGGAAATACAGTAATTAATTTAAATGTTGACTAAAAGCAGATAGAACCGATCTGAAAGAATTGGAATAGTGATATCGGCTACTCACTATTTTGAGCAATCCCAAAATTTTTTTGTGGGATTTGCAACTCAGTGGGACTTGGGTAGAATGACTGTCAGTGAACTCACTGTGGGTCTCATGTGGAAAGCATTCACAATTAATTTCCAATGAGTTTGTCACAGAGGAGCTGCTTAAAACCAGTACTAAACATTTGCAACGGTTGACACTAGACTGAGCATAAAAAATGGCATGGAGAGAGAGAGGACATAAGGAATGAGGGAAGTAAGACACAAGCATGTTATCTTTTATAAGGCAACTGGTCATTACGCTGTCAACATGGTTATCATGGTTAAGCTACAGAACAATGTGCAGCAGCTTCCCATTTATGCTCTCCCTTTTTAATGGAAAAATCATGACATGGTGTCTGCATAACAAAATCACTTACTGGAAGGACATCATCAAGCAATGTCCACAGCCTGGCATACTATTCGGAGATCATAACCTCATTGGAAACAGAAACTCACAAAGTCTTTTTGTGGGTATGGAAGTACGTCTCCTCCACTGCCTCCAGAGCCCTCCTTCTCTGAGACTCCTTTCTCCTGCAGCAATCTAGAATCAGGTTATTTCTGATGGTGCGGAGAAAGTGCTTTGCATTCGCCTTTGCTGACATCTATTGGAATGAGGGATAATAAAGAAGCAAGTGAATTTTCAAACAGGCACTGCCCAGAAGTAGACACAGTCCAAGGCAAAGACAAGGCATAAGAAAGCAAAGGTCCACCTCTTCAACAATTGAAGAGGCTCATGGCTACTGCCTGAGCCCTGGAAGGGGAGCTGAGGTGGATGATAATGCAGGACCACAGGCAAAAATGCCTCCAGTTCTGTTAAGTAAGCAAAACACTCTGCCTGGGCCAAAATGAGGCAGCCTGGAAATGCCTAATCCAGTATTCTGGTAGCTACAGTGATTAAGCTCATAGTCACAACAGTAATTCTGCCTGACTAGTATCAAAGTTCCCTCTTGATCAATGGGCAGAAGTACTTTTATACTTGTATGAAGTGTTAATATGTACAGCCTTCTGTGCCTCACGTCCTGCTCTCATACAGTATAGTAAAACCCACACTTCCATTTGTCACAGCAGTGTCAGGCTCAGGTACAACAACTAAGCTCAGCAGCTATATTATAGGAGGACACAAACCAATTCTGTCCCAGGAAGTGACTGCTGCAGAACGTGGGCTGAGCCCTGACAGACTGAACAGGGAAACACAAAGAGAGCAAACAGCATGTCTCCTAGAAATTTCTCAACATGGTAATAGCATTACCACAAGGTGTCAGCATGGAAAGGGAAAACGATGCTGGTATTTCAAATCCCCACAGTAGCCCACTCCCTGGTAACTTACGCAGCCAAGGACAGCATCAGCTAAGAGTGGAAGGTTTGGGAAAAGTGGTTTATCACTGATTCTTCTATGTCCCACACAAAGAAGATAAAAATGTTATCTGTCATAGTGAGTGAGTAGCTTATCTTTTTAATTTTGGTGTAGATTCTTGCAAAAAAAAGAAAATATTTACATGGTTAATATTAGAGTAAGGCTTCTAAAAGGCTTCTGGAAATCTAAGTTCACTAATCCAGTTGCAATATTGCAGCAATAATATGGGAAAGCTCAGTGTTAGACAGTATAGGAGAGGGAAGGATTTCATTTTGAAACAAAACTCATCTTCCAAACGCAAATTCACAGTGTTGAACTTTGCCACCAGTGTGACGACAGTATAAGTTGCCCCTGTAACAGAGCCCAAATATGTGACGTGAACTTAGCTGGGCCCATGCCGCCTCTTTGCGCTGTATCCCTGACAGAGACAAATGAGTCCAAATAGCTTGCAATAAAGTTAAAAAGCTCTGAAAAAAAGGACATTTCATGCAGGATTTTGTACAACTTTAATCGATTTCTGAATGAGTCCACATTGGGATTGAGAAGAAGAATCACTGAGGCACACTGAGTGCCCTTTCCTCAGGTTTAAGGATAATCTGCGAATAGCAGACTTGCCATAAAACTCCTTAGGAAGAGGACTTGCACTATGGCATTTCATGGCTCTATTCTAACTAAACACTCCATCTAACGTTAGAAGCTCCCTTTTTTCCTTTTCCTGACTCCCTAATATATCATGCCCATTATGGGTAATACACACAGAATTTCATAATCAACGTACTTCAAGAGTCTACTGCCTACTTGCCTACATGAAAAACCTGAATAGGGAAATGAATCAGTACAATGGGACTCCACCTGCACACAGTGTTCCATAACAGGATGTGAACTCTTATGTGGTTTGCTGAGACGTCCAGTGAAAAAGCAGACTTGGCAAAGGTCAAAATTGAGGCACTTCAGACAGCGATACCTGTAAGGGAAAACAGAAGGATTAAGTTGCTTCCCCACAAGTAATAATTTGGTGTAAGTGAGCTTGATTACTGGAAATGCAGATCCCTGGGTTAAGAAATGCAGAGAAGCATCTTTGTTAGAACAACTTGCTTCGGCATTCTCTGAATTCAAGAGTTATTTTGCTCTGTTCTTCTCCAGAACCCACTAATGATATTGGTATTATTTATATAATTCAGTTCAAGGAAGAAACAGTTTTTCGAGCACAGTTCCTGAGAATGCAGTTGTATTTTCATATGTTTCTGAGCCCTCAACTTACCTCTATTTGCTGCTCTCATGGAACAGTGATATCATTACATTATTGACATAGGATTTGCAACTTCGAAAAAAAAACCCAAAAGGCAAAAAAACTAAACCTGCAGGCTTGCTATTAGTGAGAAGAGAGGAACAGTAAAATGATTTTCTGAACATTCTGGTCAGTATGTAATGGATAGCGTTCTTTTTATACCATTAGTCCATTTTGTACCATTACTTAGATCAGTAAGATGCTAAGATGGATAATTTAACTAGCCAGCTGATACACCTGATTATGGGATAAAGAACTAAGAAATGAGATACACAGGTTTAATTTGCTTTACCACTGAACTACCAGTTTACTTTCAGTAAATCTCCATAATCATGTCTGCTAGTGAGCTAAAGAGAAGCAGGATGCAGGCTTGAGCACTAGGCTGTGATGGTTCTTTCTTTTCCTATCTTACTTGTTAAATTAGATTATGTCCAAAGATTTTTGCTTAATACAGCAGTTAGAGCCTGTAAGGTATGCAAACAGTGATTACTCACACACCTGAGGCCTGTAATGGGGAAAATTTTGCAGACTTTACATCTGGCTTGATGCGAAACCATTGCTGTGGCTGATAATCTGTAACATGTAGGGAGCCACAGGAGAACAGCAGGCTCCGATCTTAGCCAAGACAAGAATTTTTCTTCAACAATTGCTGAATTCAGAACCTGGAAAAAATACATGTCTCAAGTTCAGCTGTTTACATCAAAAGAAGTGGTTTCTCGTCTATAATTCTTAATAAAAGCCAATATTGGACTCTGCTAGCATAGATTTTCATGTAAAATGTTACTGGGCTCCAAAAGGCTTGCAATAAATGCAAGTCTTCAGTAGTCTTTCTGAGGACCTTTTCTATAGCTATAAATCCTCCTATACTGTCAGACTGACAATCAGTCCTGCCCCTTAGAAGTTGATACTGGTGTATGTTATATGGTGATATGCTTACAATTTTAATCAACCAGCAACATTGACAATCATTTCACAGGACATCATAATTTCACTCACCCCATGGAAACAGCTGCGAGTTGCAATTTCCACACAAGACAAAGTGCAGCCTTCTCCCACAATGGCTGGTATCTGCATCAAGAAGAAAGGCTCAAAAACACCTCAATAAAAAGCAGATGTTCCCATCATGCTCTGCTGAGATGGTGACAGCACACAGATGGTGAAGTATCTATAGAAATGCCATTTTACACACTGTTCTGAAAAAATCCTGTTCATATTCATACCATCAGCATGCAATTTCATAATTAAGTATGTGTCAGAATGATTTGCTTCCAGCTCACTTACTGAAATGGATCAACATGTTATGTTGCTATACTAGAATACTGAAGGACACTGGGTTTTAACCACAGAGGTCATTTTCAGATCCCATTTTCAGCACCAGTTCAGCTGGAAATACATGTATGCTAAGGCATTTTTCTGCAACTGCAAGCTATTCTAGGGAGTTCAAACATCCGAAGTTTGAAGTCACTTTAGGAACAGCTGTATGCAGCTGTTCCCAGGACATGTAAGCTCCAGAAAAAATGAATGCACAGAGGCACTGATGAAATTGGCGACACTGGCTGAGAAAAGCTGTAGAATTTGCTTCTTTTATCTACTTCTCATGGTAGCTCCTTATGTCTGCACAGAGCCTCACTGACTTTAATCTGGTAATGTAACTGGATATAAAACCATGTATTTTTTCTCTTAGATTAGGATACTCCTTCAAGATCTGTTGTGTAACAGTACTGCTGTAGCATTACCTGATTTAAGTCTGTTAGTAGGTTTCTCAGGGCACTACGGGTGATCAAGGCCATCTTCCCTTCAGGGACAGCATAAAACTGGAAGAAAGCTGAAAACAACCAGAGGAAAGAAACTGAAATCCTGGCAGAGCCTGAAGTGTCTTCTAGCTACTCATTCTCAAACTATCTACATGATGACTGCAGTCTACCAAATAAACCCCTCAAGGAAGTTCCCCTTAATGTCTATCTAACAGGTGTTCAGTGACAATAATTTCTTCCTACAGGCAGGTAAAAGAGAAAGAAAGCAAGGATATTATGACAATAATATGCCAGTTCCTGGCACTGAAGACAGGTAAGGATGAAGGAAAAATTTTCATGGCTGTAACAAAAATATTTAAATTTGTTTATACAAGATAGGTCCTATTTAAATTGTGAATTGTTAATTCCAATTGTTATTTGGAAGGAACTACACAGTATGCAGTGAGGGAGTATGAGGCCAATACACCACCTGTGGTCCATTTGCTCTCCATTTTGAGCATTTAATCCAAGCAGAAATCTTTGTGCTGCACATTGCATTGGACTACCTTTATCTGTTTTACTCAGTCTTTTTAAGCATTTTTGTCTAATGTTAAAAAGCTTCCTGGATCAAATATATAAAACTGCTTTCTAATTCAATGACATTTGAAATTAGGGACTTTCTGTTTTTTTTCTGCTAGGCAAAAAGAACTTGCCCTTCATTTTTAAGCTCTACTTATCTTAAACTTTACTATGACTTGTTCTGATCTTTATTCATCTTTATGCAAAGATGACTAAGGATATTGATGAAAAAGTATTCTCCTGCATCAGCCTTTCTCTAAGCAGTCAACATAGTTTACTCTTTGTATGGCAGAGCAGTATTCTCTTTTAAATTAAAAAAAAATCACAATGGAGATTTTTGTCAATGTTCAGTATTTCAGGCAGTGTATAAAATCATACATTTCCCACCTCTGTATTTAGCCAGTAAAGTGTCTCCTGAAAGGGCAATTAGGGCAGCTGCAGCAGATCTAGCTTTGATATAACCTGTTCCAGATCTAGGAAAATGAAATAAGATACACTACAATCACTGAGAATGTAAAAACTGAAACCTCTGAAGAAAAAATATTGCTATGTTGAAGAAAACTTTAAGACTCCTCTCCTTTTATATCTACACAACTAATGTCACATTTTAGTGATATTTTATGTCTAGGACCCTTTGTCACTGAATGTAGCTAGAGTTAACTGTTCAAGATGCCATGCAATCATAAAACAAAAAGAAAGCATCTCCTTCAAAGACCTCACATTTCAGGTAAAATTTCATTTTCATTTCATTTACAGACATGTCCTAAAAAAAAAAATCTGCTCTTCATTTGTGGAAAGCCTTCTGAAATATGAAAGAGAAAGCAGGATTATAATCCTGGGTTTATATTATAACATCAGGCAGCCCCAGCACTGAGCCACTCTTGGGCTGATTCCCTTTAATTTAACTGCAACTCAATTTTATCAAAAGGATATATGCAGGAGCAAGACTTCAGTTTTGAGTGTCTGACCACAAAGAATGTAGCTTAATTTAGAACCCAATTTTGTGACATAGGCACCTAATGGAAAAATGTTTTTTTTTAATGTGAAAACAAAGCAGACATGAATTGGAATCCTGGAATTCTATATTTAAGATATTACTTTTGCGAAGCAGTATTGCACTTCAAAATACCATTACAGAAAATTGTCTTCAAATGTCTTTAGCTAAATTGTGTTTTTCAAGAGCATACTGCATAAAACTACGGTACACTTCCTAGAGCATGGACTGCATGGGAAATTGCTGGTCAAAATCTTATAGATTTTGAATTTATATATTGAGTTTTTCCATAACTTTCATAGAAAAAATGCCCAAGATTAAAACTAAAGTACACAAACACAGCTCCTCATGATGGTTTATGGAATTTTACTAAGACAGACGCCACAAAAATGGGGAAAAGTCCTTATGTGCTCTTGCCACTAAATACGTTCCAGTGTTTACAGTGGACAACAGCACTCTACAGAGATGCCCTGATTAGAAGAAAATTATAATAAACTTTTTCTAGCCTACATACATGTCAAGAAACTTGTAATTTATTTTAAAGCAATTACAGCAATAGTAAAATTGCACACTGTCCTAAGAAACCAGAAAAAAGACCAAGATAGTCCTGTTAAGAAGATTCTTTTAATCATTTCCATACAGTGCACACAAATTACAACATACTCTTGATGTCTCTAGCTTTGTTTCATAATACACGTTTATTCTTAATCTTAATTGATTTTTTAAATACAAAAAATCCCCACAACATAGGACCATAAGCAGTAGTGATCATATTAATGACCAGTGATGGAATAAAAAGTCCTGCAGACCTCTCACATCTCACTTTCTGTAAGAAACTTTGCTCTGATGTAGAAGGGAATAAATTTCACCTGTGGTGAATAAATTACAAAATTAACTTAGCCTTTGTCTTTTAAATGGGTCACAACCCAACCCATATTTGGTCAATGAATTCTTTAATCACAAACAATACACAAGGTAAGTACACTCTGTGAGCTGCTTTCTTATTATTCACAGAAACTATTTGCTCTTCACAGGAGTTAGCTGATCAACTTAGTTATGAGATTGTACTTTTGTTTCATAATTAGCTGATGAACTTTTTAAGCTGGAGAAAAATGAATAATGAAAAGTAACTAGCAAATTCTTGACCTTTCTACGGGTACTGTAATTCAAAGGCAAATACGCATTCTTTTTCAGGACTATATGAAAAAATCTTGGCAGCCAAAAGAAGAGCTACTCCCTGCAAAACTGTTTACAGAAAACGTTAGTATGGACTGGCAGAAATCTGGGCTTCTAGATAATTTTGGAAACATTTGACCACTTTCTCTGATAAAGCTTTGTGCCTTGTATTGCTATAGCTGAACTACTCCTGTTGTGTATATAAGAAAAACATCAACAAAATGTAAAAGTTTGATACCAAAATGGTATGAGAGTGATAGAAACAGTTTTAGCCTAGCAATACTTTGTGATGGATTTACATCTGTGCTTCCTCTCACCTGTCATACATGGCAGCTAGCAGGCTCAATGTGAAATCAGCACCTCTTGGATCTACCTGGCCTGGTTTTTCTAACCTCGCCCTTTGGAACAGTTCTGTCAGCATTCCAGAGATCTGCTGCACTTTCAGAGAAATCTGCTTTTCCCTCTGGCTCTGTTCACTTGACAGGGTGTGCTGAATCAGAGAAACATCAATCAAATCCACTGTGGAAAAATTAAGGGAGAAATGAATGAGAATCCCTGCCTTTTCATGAATGGAAGCTCAACTATTTTTTTATTAGAAGTGTCTAGCTAAGACAAGTCTGTTAGATAAGTCTAAAACAGCATGCAGTATTTAGAAAGAAATAATCTAGGAAAGGTATTGTTGTCTATAGATGTAGCAAAACTTGTGAGGCTACAAAGATAGAACAGCTGAGATAAAATTCCCTGGATCTGATTTTGGGATAGATAAAAAGGGAATAAAATATCATGATTAACTGCAACCAAATTATAGAGGATAATAGCATGATTAACTGCATCCAAATTTTAGACTTAACTTTAATTCTATATATAGATAGATATTTCGTAGACTCCAGAAGAAGCAGAGAACCTAGAATATGTCCTATGATCTTTCCAACGCAGATGGGAAAATATCAGTGTGAAACACTGGTGAATCTCAATCTGGAAAACCATGTGCAATTCTGGTCACCAGTGTTCAAGGAGGAGGAGAGTAAATGGGACAGATGCTAGGAGTGCTTACAGGAGACATGGAGGAGTAGGAAACAGAGCTCATATAAAGCTGTGTGAATTGGCACCAGGCAGATTTACTACATCAAGCTGAGATCAGACTAAATACATTTACAGAAGGGCATGCCCAAATGCAAAAATATGGCCAAGACCAACAGACTAATCATCTTTTCTGGGCAACCCTGGTCTCGTGAGATCTTACTTGAAGTATCCTGTACAGTTCTGGTGTCTTCAACATAAAAAGGACATGGAACTGTTGGGACAAGTCCAGAGGAGGACCACGAGGATAATAAAGGGGCTCAAACACCTCTCATATGAAGACAGACTGAGAAAGTTGGGGCTGCTCAGCCTGGAAAAGAGAAGGCTGCATGGAAACCTCATAGCAGTCTTTCACTGTCTGAAGGGGGCCTACAAGGATGCTGGAGATGGACCTTCATTAGGGACTGTAGTGATAGGACAAGGGGTAACGGGTTCAAACTTAAACAGGGGAAGTTTAGATTGGATATAAGGAAGAAGTTCTTTACTGTGAAGGTGGTGAGGCACTGGAATGGGTTGCCCAGGGAAGTTGTGAATACTCCATCCCTGGCAGTGCTCAAGGCCAGGTTGGACGGAGTCTTAGGTGACACAATTTAGTGTAAGGTGTCCCTGCCCATGGCAGGGGGGGCTGGAACTAGATGATCTTAAGGTCCTTTCCAACCCAAACCATTCTGATTCTATGAAGACATCACTTACAGTGTTGTGCATTTTCAGCAAAAGACAGTTTCAGGTGGAAAATTCAAGAATTCCATGCATTTTAGCTCAATCTGGAATTTACACCCAGTAGCTAGGTGACAGGAAGAATGAGTGTGGGGTTTGTGTTCTACCACATTTAATTTTTTCTCATTAATACTTATTAATAATTATTTATGTCAATGCATTTTTGATGATCCATGATCATTTCCAATAAATTGACTCATAAGAAACACATGAGAATTTGACATTTAACAAGAATAAGAATATACAGATAATGATTCATAATTGCCAGTGATGTCTACATAGCAATGTTGCAGATTGTAATAAGAATTTGATTTTGTCATGCCTTTAGAATTTTACTAATGTATTTCCACTGACATTCAAAAGGGGGGAAAAATTGATTTGAAGTAGTATGTAGCTCTTAAGTGCTTGTAATACATTCTGGGAATCTCAGGTGGAAAATGAGAGAGAAAAGTAGCATAATAACTCATGGTGACAGCAGTACAAGTTTTGTTACAGATTCTTATTGTCAAAGCACAGGATTCTCTTCAGCTACTAACACTGGCATAGACTTTGTACCGAGCGTAGTTTTAGGGCTGTTCTGTAGATGGAGCTCTGAACATCATTGAAAGCGTCTGTGAAAGAAAACACACGTTACAATGGTAGTTTGTCAAAAAACAAAACAACACAACAAATTATTTAACTAAAAATCAAAAGAACCAAATATGCACTTGATGAGATAGCTTTGTGGGGAAAGTGGTCTTATAACCAGTGACATGATGGGTTGTAAAAATAGTATTTAACATATCACAGAATCATAGAATAATTAGGATTGTAAAGGACCTTAAGATCATCAAGTTCCAACCCCTCTGCCATGGGCAGGGACACCTCACACTAAACCATGCCACCCAAGGCTCTGTCCAACCTGGCCTTGAACACCTCCAGGGACGAAGCATTCACAACTTCCTTGGGCAACCCATTCCAGTGCCTCACCACCCTTACACTAAAGAACTCCTTCCTTATATCCAATCTAAACTTCCCCTGTTTAAGTTTGACCCCGTTACCCCTTGTCCTGTCACTACAGTCCCTAATGAAGAGTCCCTCCCCATCATCCCTATAGGCCCCCTTCAGACAGTGGAAGACTGCTATGAGGTCTCCACGCAGCCTTCTCTTCTCCAGGCTGAACAGCCCCAACTTCCTCAGCCTGTCTTCATACGGGAGGTGCTCCAGTCCCCTGATCATCCTCGTGGCCCTTCTCTGGACTTGTTCCAACAGTTCCATGTCCTGTTGAGGACACCAGAACTGCACACAATACTCCAGGTGAGGTCTCACAAGAGCAGAGTAGAGGGGCAGGATCACTTCTTTCGACCTGCTGGTCACGCTCCTTTTGATGCAGCCCAGGATACGGTTGGCTTTCTGGGCTGCGAGCACACACTGAAGCCGACTCACGTTAAGTTTCTCATCAACCAACACCCCCAAGTCCTTTTCCACAGGCCTGCTCTGAATCTCTTCTCTGCCCACCCTGTAGCTGTGCCTGGGTGCACCTATAGAGCACACCTGCTTCTTTGTGAATCAAGTCTATCCATGGACCAGAAAAAAGGATATGCACTGTGCATACTTTAAGCCAAGATCAAAATGAAATTATATTTCTTCAGCCAACACTGTTTCTTGATCAGAGATGCTCTTGTACAAGGAACAGTTTGTCAGTTTGCACAGCAGGATTATTGTTTTGAAAGCCTATGTTTCCAGCATTAAACAAATTTTCTGTCAAAATTAACATCTAGGGCTCTCACAGAAGAAAAACAATTTACCAGAACAACTGGCTTTTGACACCTCTGCTTAGTAATCTCACCCAAACTGCCTGACTAAATCCCATAGCCTTCTATGATTTCAGCTCATTTCTGTCACATCACTGAAGTATGTTTTCCAGAGTGGGAAGCAAGGGCTTATAAAAATGGCTTATACCTGATACTTTACACCCATTCCTAGAACTCCAAGACACACACAAAAAGGGGGGAGGGAGGTGAAGGCTTAAAAAGCTTTGTTCACAAAGCTTTAGAAACTAGAAAGGGGTTTGTCAGTTATCCTGTCCTAAGAGACTCTTTCTTCCTGTATTTCAGAGAGCAAGAGTTACTCACAGTTGATTAAGGTCAAAGATAAACAACAAATATGCATAACTGAGTAGAAATAACTCAGAAACTCTGGACCTGTTTAGTCTGGAAATAAGCCAATCTGTGTGTCATGGTTTCCTACAAATGTACCAGACTAATGTTAATAGTCAGCAAATTATGGGCTCTGCTGCTTCCCAGATGCTGCCTAAGATATAGAAATAAGCCAATATCTGCTATACCATCTTTTAGTCCTGCTCATGTCGTATTATGTTTTGTGATATTGTTTGGAGATGTAGTGTAGCATGTCATACAATGTGAAAAATCGGTTGTGACTTCCATGCATCATCAGTTCTCTTTCTTCAGTAACCTGAATCCAACGCTCTTTTCAAAGTAACAGAAAGACTCCCAGAGTTCTCAGTAGGCTACGGATTAAATTCCAAATGATTATTTTCAAATACAAATGCTAGAAACATACACATGATCCAGCTCAAACACCTTCCATGTGCAAGATGACTAAGTGAAGGGAATCTGTTTCAGTAGCCATCTGCTACTCACTTCAAGTCCACCCTTACAGATAAAATGTGGCCCCAAAGTAGGGCATTCTGTGCCTGTCAAGCAGTTCCAGAATTAGCTTGTGAGAACACACAAGTAAAACAGCAGAGAAAATAAAAAAAAAAAAAGACCAAGTAAAATACAAAATATTTTAGGATTAGTTTTTATGAGAGGCTATTTAGGGACACTAAACTTTCATTTCTCATAGCAATGAAGCTTCCCCTTTGGACAGAAAACAAGCATGTAATAATTCTGCAGCAGGACAGATTTCAAGAGTCATAAACGCCCTTTGTTGAGAAGCTGGCAAAGGAATTCCTACACACATACGATACATTGTTTCCCAGCATCTCCAGCTGATTACCTGCTAGTTCTGCATTTCGCATTACTCGTTATCTAGCAGATGAAGTGTCTGCTAAGATTTTGCACTCAGGAAGGGAGTGTATGGCCACCCTTCATGCCTATTCAAGAATATGTGAAACAAACCCTTATGAGACATTATAAGTCAGAGAACATGGCTCCTGAGTGCCTGACCATTCCATGAGCCCATACAATAACAGCAAGGAAGGTACCAGGACAGATCCAGAAATAAAGGTGGGACATCACAGCTGTGTAATTTGTCATTTATGTGATACAACACAGAGATTCTGAAAGTTGTATGATTTCATTATAGTTCAGTAGTTTCTGTTCAAACAGACAGATATTTCTTGAGAAAAGTTGGGAAAAAATGATTAAAATCCTTACCCTGCAAGTCTGGATCCATTGGAAACGAACAGATGGCATTAGGCATTCTATAACGAAATAAACTAAAGTGTAAACCCACATTTTCTAGGCAAAGACATATCAAACCATTCAAATCAAACCTTTTAATCTGAACAGTTACTGGAGGCATTCCAGAAAAGAAACTAAACAGAATTACATAAAACAACATAACCATTTTAGTTCTAAGTGCAGAGAAGCTCCAGAAAATTGCATGTTGTCTGCTCAGGATAAAGTAGGAGTAATTCTAGTAACTGCAAAACAGTATGAAGGCAAAAGCAGTCCCCAAAATAGTTTCAAGTACAGGAAATGAGATCTTCCAGTATTGAAGTGTCCAGTGTTTACAAATAGGATTACTACACAATCCATAGTATATAAATTCAGGGCCAGAGAGGGCACCTTTACACGAGTCTCTTCCCAAGATTCATTGATTACAATTAGTCACAAATCTATTTTCTAAAATTTTCAAAAAGAACTAAAGTTTTAGCTGAGCCAACATTATTTCTTTTGGGACTGAGAAGGAGGAGAGAAAAGAACCATAGCCATGAATCCACTTCTTCACACAACCCTGAAAGCAAAATAATGATGTCCCTAATAAAAACTGAATATAGAATCATAGAATAGTTAGGGTTGGAAAGGACCTTAAGATCATCAAGTTCCAACCCCTCTGCCATGGGCAGGGACACCTCACACTAAACCAATCACCCAAGGCCTCGTCCAACCTGGTCTTGAACACTGCCAGGGATGGAGCATTCACAACTTCCCTGGGCAACCCATTCCAGTGCCTCACCACCCTAACAGGAAAGAATTTCCTCCTTATATCCAATCTAAACCTCCCCTGTTTAAGCTTGAATCCGATACCCCTTGTCCTATCACTACAGTCCCTAATGAAGAGTCCCTCCCCAGCATCCCTATAGGCCCCCTTCAGATACTGGAAGGCTGCTATGACATCTCCATGCAGCCTTCTCTTCTCCAGGCTGAACAGCCCCAACTTTCTCAGCCTATCTTCAGGATTTATTTCATTAGCACTTGAAACTCCAATATATTTTTAAACATTAAAATATAAATATTCATTCAGTCCAGTAACTATCAGTTAATGTTACAGCTGAAAAACATTAGATATAACAGATCTAAGTTACAAAAGGCCACATATATGGCTTATAGTGGGGGAAAAAAAAGGCAATTTGCTAGAATAAATAAAAATTCAATAGATGAAAACTATCTAAGGCTTAAATAATAAATTTGTTTTGATATTAAAACTGAGCTTCCTCAAATGTTCACTTTATTACATTCTTCCAGTAAGAGTCATTGATCATTTGCCATAAACATGACAGAATACCTGCCAATTATGAAGCATAAATATTCAATGATCTGTAATTATTGAGTCTGTCATAAATATGCTTCTCACCATTTTAATTAGCGATAGCTGCAGTTCTGTGTTTCAGTTTCTAAATAACCTATAAATACTTTGAAATGATGGGATACAGATTTGCTTTAATAACTTCTTCATTAAAGACTACAATTTTTATTGAAGTCCTTTTTTGATAGAATTACCACTATGTTTCTTTTTCACTGTTCCTCTATTTAATTCCTTACTAAGGTTTAGACTCAACCCTGGATTGTGTAAGACTACAGTTCTGCCCAAAATTTACATACACATGTAACTTTGCTGACACAATTACTCCTAAAATAGGTGCAGTAGTATATGCCTCTGCACAGCTTGACAGAAAAGTCAATATAGGGAAATGAGTGAAATCAGAAGATTCTAAGCAATGAATTAAACATAAGTGTTTAGTGAAAGCTACATGTAGCAAACTAAAGGATAGACTTACAAACACACACTTTGTCTCATGTTTTCCTCCTTTTTTTTGCCCTCCACCAAAGCTACATAAAACAAAGCAAGAGGATAAATGTATAAAATACACAAGTTAAACTCACTTAAATTAGAACTCAGTCATTAGAATTTGCTCACTCAAATAAGAACAGATCCACTGACTTGACTGAGTTATAGAGCATGCATAAACTATTTGTATTTGATACTTACATTAAGATGACAATTTCTCTATCCAGTACAGAACAATGCCTAACCTTTAAATTACCCATATAGATAAACTACCATACTTTTGTACTAGGGTATTCGTGGTCTCAAAGTTAAGTATGTGTTCATGTGTTTCACAAAACTGGCTGTCACTGTGCAACATAACATCATTTCCCATCAACCCTCCCCTCCAGAAAATTATGAAAGGCATTATTAACATAGGTAAAGTCTACATTTTTATATACAAAAGTCTATGGAGAGTCCAGCTCTTGACTGCAGTAGGAGTGCTTGGGTGACATGAACAGTGTCTACTTCAGTGTTAACACACATACTTTATAATGAACATAACATGAAAGTAGAAGTAGTATCTGCCTGCCATTAACTATGAACTAATTCTGCTCATTGATAGACTATTTCAGCCAGTATGTTGCTGTATTTCAGTTACATGTGCCCTTTAATAATTAAAACCACTCCACAAAATGAAGCAGACTTTTAAAAGTAACTACCAATGGACAGGAAGTAAATTTTTAGAATTAGAAACCCCAGTCCCATTAACACAAATACTCTCATGTGCAGAACAAGAGTAGACTTATTTTCAAATCCCATTGGAATGTGCAAGAAAAGCAACATTTGATCACTTACATGTATTTAGTTTACCTATATAAGTTCTCAGCATATGTACTTTAGCAAATAAAATTAATTTTTAAGTATGCTACGTAATTAAGTTACAGTACAGAAAAAGCCAGACCAGATAAAGTAAGGAAGAAATCTTCCAATAGATTGACTTGATCACAGGGGCTTTCCTTCTTTTGAAATCAGACAGCATATGATCATACATACATAAAACATACATACAAACATACATAAAATAAACTACAATTACTTTTGTTTCCTGTGAAGGGTAAGAACATTCGATGTTGTTCAAAGGCTGAAATTATTGCCTTCTCTTAAATACAGTAACAGTGCTTACCTTTCTCTTAGCTACTTACTAAAGGCCCAGAAGTCAGACAGCACTGCCAGAGAAAGCCTAGTTTTATAGCACTTTAAAGTTGACTTCAAGACACAGTTCTAAAGGTTTTGCTTTTCAACGAATGCTCTTCACAACAAATGCCTGGCAAAGGCCCAGATCAAAGTATCAGGTAATGTCTAAGCAGTCAAAACAGAGAACACTAATTAATTAGTAATAAATATCTTGAATTATTAAAGATAAAACTCCTTTGATCTCTGTTTCAAAGCAATTTTTTCTTATGGGTAGAGTGCAATATTTCTGAATTGAAGGACCTTTACTAAGCATCTCCCAGTTGCTGAGAAACAGTGTTGCTATAGAGACTGAAAAGGAGGTGGAAGCTGGCACAATAATACAGAAAGCACAGTGTGCCATAGCAAATGGTGCAACTACACAAAGAAGGAAAATAGTAAGTAAGTCCTAGTGGTAATGTCCTAGAGTAAGAAATCTTTAGGCCAAACATAAAGCTTACACACTCATCAGTATATCCAAATGCTAGTGTTTTATGCAGCATACATATAACATTTGTGAGACATACACTTCTCTTAAAGCCCCTTTTCATACATTTTTCAACAGTTACTCTAGTACCCAGGTAAGTAGGATTCATCAGTGCTATGAATATCCTACATACGTATCATTACTCAGTAACTTGTGACAAAATGTGTACCGTTTACGTACTACTTATAGAAATTACTTATTACTTATAAAAGCACCAAACTTAGTGATGACCAAGTCAGGCTGTGCTACAACTGTAACCAACTGTGAATATTTTAGCTTTCCTATTATTTTTATTCTTTCTTTCTCTCCTAAGCAAAAGATAGGTAAAGTAACTTTTCCATTCTATTATGCTTCCATGAGGAAAGACCTGAATTTCCCTGCAGGCCATGAGGCAAATCTAATTAGAATAACTTAGGATACAAGAGACATCCAAGACATTTGTTTTGCCTTTCTCCACCCAACCTCTGAGAAAAAATTCTTTGCCTGTGGTTTTCAGGTAGTGACCCAGAAGTTTGATGTGGCTGCTTATGTATTGCAGAAACAGTTCATCTGCTTCTCATTAAGAGCTATGCAGTGTTGGTGCTTGAATTGCAGCTTGTTTGAACTACTTCCTCCAAAGAATTCAAAGAGTAAATGACTGCCAAATCATATTCCATATAGAAAAAAAAAAACAAACCAACAACCACAAGTGTAAATATACATTAGAGAAGTTCACTTTTCCTATTCTGTCTTGGGAAGGAGCTACAGAACAAGTAGTTTGTAAAGACTACAGGTAGCATACTTCCCTGCTATGCTCCCCTAAGACATCTGGCTCCAGATGCTCCTCAGAGACTCAGACAATTTTCTGTGCATACACCACTAGAAACTAATTCTCTGAAGACTGCTTCTTCCTGAAATGAATGATTCCTAACCACTTTCTTCAAGACTTTTTAACAACACTTCTCTCTACAACTCCCACATGAACTCTTTCGTGAAGATACTTGTAACAATATATCAGATACTGTACATGTTGCTTCTCCCATACACATTTCATATACAGTAAGGAGTACACTCTTCCAACTCCCTTGTGATACCCCAGCTTTCTGATCTCCTCTTCCTAAGAATAGTGAGACTCCCCTTCTAATTCCGTCCACATCAGCTAATAAATAGCAAATAAACTCCTCTTGGTTTCCTCACATAAGAAGAAGTCTACCCCTGTTCAGAGTTTGAACCTCCATTTGAACAGAAATAATTCATTTATTCCAACTATTTATACCTGATTCAAAGAAGAGGAAACCTTTTATTTTCCTTTAAACACATCTGATAAAAAATTAGCAACTACAATAATATTTCATTTAACAGTCTCCATCTTTTAGGACACCAAAGACATTCAAGTGCAAGTGGTTTATCAGTAATTCTGTTTAGACAAGGACTTAATTAATTCCATGTTTGACTTAAAACATATGAGTAGTCCCTATGAAACTCATGAAATAAATAAGAAACATGAGACAAAAATGGTCTTGTCACTAAGGAGTTGTATGCACTTAAATTTTTGTGTTATATACCAATTTTGCCTGAGGATACATATTCTTATACAGTACTGTGTTTCATTACATCTGAGACATAAATCTGGAGTTATAAAACTGCTACTCCTATGTGCTACTCCCAATCTTGCTCTGAATTGTCAAAATATGAACATTTTAGACATTAAATGATGTTTTCAAAATGTTTTACTGGTCTGAAGAAGTAGAAATCCTAGACTCATTAAAGGCTCCATATAAAGAATGTTATATTCACACTTTTGAAACATTTTTCTTCCTACAGATTTCCAGGTTTTTAACAAGGAAGACACTGTAAGAACTGTGACAATGTTTAGCCTTTCTTTGAGCAATGGAAAACATCATTTTATTATGGGAACTTTCAGCGTTTCTCCTCCAGACAGCTCTCGTCAAGGTAAGACAGCAGACAAAGTTTCCATCTCTGTAAGAAGAGCAAAAACAGTACATATTTTTGCCAACCTCCTAAATACTTAC